CTACAAACATATTAACGCCAAACATTCGGTAGAATTTATAGAATATTGTAAACATTTATATATATAAATATACATATAAAACGGCGCGTAAAAAACAATGAAGGATGCACGCAAGTAATTGGAGAGTTTCACGCTATGAAATGAACTAAACTTGCAAAAGTCTTTAATAATTTATCGTGCACGTAGTAGTAAATAGCTATCTTCCTCATTTTTCTGAAAAAATATACAAACTAGAGGCAAATAGCTCAAATTGAAATAATAGATGATCTTCTGAAAATTGTAAAAAAAAGATAATTAATGATGAAAATATGACGAAATCAACGCATGACTTTGGCTCGTCTACACTAGGAAGTACCAAATGACCGCGCTCAAACGAACGACGAACATATCTCTTTACGCATAAGTAATGTAGAAAGAAAATTTCAATTTCTAATAGAAAAATATGAAGCAAAAAAACTGTGAATGAAAAATTGTACAAAATGTTTTTCAAAAACGTTAATTCTTATTTTACATTATATCTATGTACACATCCACACACATATGTGTATGTATATATATATATATATATATATATATATATATATATATACATACACACACACATACATATATAACTGACGTCTGTTACTGTAAATAATCTTTTAACCTTAAAAAATTACAAAAAAGAAAACGAAAAGATAGAAATTCTTCATTAAAAAGGAAATTACTAAACGAAACAAGTTAAACAAAAAATTCAAATTGTGAAAAAATTGAATGGAAAAACTAAAAATTATTAAAAAATGCAATTATATATATACATATATATATATATATACATACATATATATATATATTTTATATATATATATATAGATGAAAGACCAAGAAATACATAGTGAATGAATGAATCAGATAACCATACAGTACAGTGAACTATGAAAACTAACTTAGATTTCTAAATAAAACACGTCAATCTATCTAAATAATAAATAACAATAAAAGTATTAAATACGTAAGTGAAAGTGCAAGCTTATAATTGAATGTATGTAAAATTGACTATTTGGTAAAGAAAAAAATTATTATTCAATTGCAAAAATTAAATTTGAAAATACTAAACATTTGTAATAAGCCAATTGCTGAAAATAAATGAGGATTACAACTAAGGAAAGTATGAGCTTGATGGAAATTCACGTAAAATAATTTTTAATTACACAAATATATATATATATTTATATATATGCGATAATTAATGAAATCTACCAAATTTTTAGCTTTTACGATTAGTTAACGATCCAACAGTAATTTTTGTTAGAAATATTGAAAAGCTCAATCGTAAACTTTCAAAAGCTAAAAATTCGGTAGATTTTATCAAATATTACATAAATTATGGTCTCCTTTCAGCAATATGTATATATATATATATACATATATATATATATAAATTGTGTTATCCACTTATACGTTACATTTAGTTATGAAACAAACAACATAGAAAAATATTATCAAGAAATCAGGGAGAGAGCATTTAAGATAACACCTACCTAATAAGGTTGCAGGGGACATTTTGATGTTGTTGCATTGATGAGATGAATGAAAAAAATTGTACACTATGCATTGATAATCAACCGAATGTAAACCATGATGATGATAGTGGTGGTGATAATAATAATGAGGTGGATTATGCATAACATCGAAGTTGAACTAAGAGAACAAATGATGCATGCTGATGATATCAACAACAACAAAACATTCTATTAAATAGCATTATAAAGAAAAATAAATAAAAAAAAAACCACCAGCCGACCGTCTGAGAGCCTTCAGCGGTGCGGCCCTCACATATTTTGTGATATGTTTATTCAAATCAGATATAAAAATACACACTTTGAACTGGAAAAATAATTGATCATATGACATAAAAAATTAAAAAAAAGATTAATTGAATAAATCTCCTTATTTACACTTTGAATTGTTAAAGATATCTAAGCGTTGAAAATATAACAGATAAACATAAATATTTTGGCTTTTTAAATAGTTTGAAATTTCGTAACAAATATAATTTTACGACAACCTTTATTCATAATGAAAACGGCACTAGTTACCCCAAGAAATGTTTGGAAACTTCAAAAATCAAAATTGAGAGGTTGAAATGTATGGTTGAATAACAACATACATAATGCCATTTGAACGTTTTGAAAAAACTTATTCTGGCAAACAGACTAGGACAATTACTTGAAATGAAAAATAAACAAATCTGTTACATTCTCTTCGATGATTCGTCAATATAAAAAAGTAAGAAGTCGTAATTGCGTTAAAAAATGACAACATTGCTCTACAAAGTGAAATGCTTTTTTGAAAAAAATAGAATAGAGAAAATTATGAAATTAGTCTAAATAAATAAAAATGGTCAATTTGTTGAAAAAAGAAATGAATTCTTGTGGCAGGCTTACATTTGAGCTACAACATTTGTTCATTAAATTAATATTCATTACAAAACTATTCAAAATTTAAAAAATTCAAATGAAAAAATACAAAACCGAAATGAAAATTAAGAAAAAAATTAATTAAACAGCAGAAATATATTAATACAATGTGAGAAACGTATAATTATAAAATGCAAGCCATGAACAACCACTTGCGACAAAGCACATTAGAACAAATTTTTTTCAACAAACATTGTGAAGTATCAAAAGTTAGAGGCAATTTTTTCTAACAAATTCTTACTACATATACATACATATATATAAACATTTCCAAAGACAAGCAAAATAATAATAATTATTAAATATTACAAAGACAGACAGACAAATAGCACGATGGATATGAATAAATGTCAATAGCAGAAAAATAATATAAACCTACAACCTTTCTTACTTACTGCTAGCAACGTGGAGAGCACTCAACCGCTCTATTGGCTGATAGAATTGGTTCATGAGTTAACAAAAAGAAATTAACGAAAATAATAACGTCACAGTAGTTCAATGAATGAATTTGTCTAAAAATAATATTGAAGAGCTTAAACAATGTGCTTATCTTATCACAGACGTTTTCAAAATTGAAAATGGATATTGAAAAATGGTGTCAATAACGATGAAACTGATCAATACGATGCCTTTGTTTAATTATAAAATGAAAATTATATAGTCCAATGAATTCCTGAGATGTCATAATTATTTCGTTAGATATGGCAAATGGAAAATTTTCTTGTGTTAATCACCATTTTTTGTTAAAATAATTCACTAAACAATAATTTTGCAGTAAATAAGAAGTATATACAACAACACAATTAACCATGAACGACACGTGTGTATCTTTTGTTTGTTGTAGCAGGCATGAATGACACCATCAGCAGGCAGGCCGCACACTGCAACGTAAATGGAGAGCAATCTAAACTATGAATATCCTTCCGGAGAATCCATCAAACGTCCATCCTCACTTACCGAGTGGCGGATCAAATAAACACCAACACCAACCTCAAACTGGTGCCTATCCTATCAATCAACCAACCAACTAATTATTATCAACGTCTCACACCTCAGTCCAACCTAATTCGAGCACCCAACGGTGACTTCCAACATTTTCATCCTTCAGCTCGCTGCACTTGTCTAATATCTCTTATGTCCATATCTCATTCCACTTTATGTATACACATTCACATATATATATATATACACATAAATATATATATATATATGATAAAAGTACATAATAGAAAAAAGACAGCTTGAACATTTCAATAAGCAATACTAATACTTCTAATATAATAAGGGAAATATAAATTAATAAAAAAAAATCATTAAACGAAAATAAAAACAGTATAATATATACACATACATACATACGAACGCACACATATATACATATATCTTGCACATGGGTGTTATGTGTGTGTTCATATTAAAATCATGTGAAAATATATGCTAATGAGACAATCTTAAATAAAACCAACAAAGTACTAAAAAAAAAAGAAAAATAAATAAAAATTCAAATGTAAAACGCGGCAATAATAAAGAAGAGTGTTCAAAAAATGAAATGAAACAAATTAAAAAAAAACGAACAGTGAGTTACGACATGTGTCTGGCGGAAAATAACTTTAAAATTAAAATTACTGACACCTGATAGGAAATCCCAAATAAACAAACAAACAAAACAAAAAGATTCAAGGATTTGAAGTGGAAGTGAACAAGCAAACAGTATCCAACAACATTTATGTCATAATTGTTCAATAATATTTTAATCAATAGTTCCATATCTAGTTAGTTGGAGTTTGTCCCTTCACAAGTTTTTAAAAACAAATACAAAGAAATTTACTGATTGAACTTTACACGTGAACGTTCGTTACTTGGGTTTACTTGGTTATTCATCGACTTGTGCAGGCAGAAATTATCATCGTCAGTAAATGTTGAATGTTCACTCGTTGATTGCACTTGCAGTGGTGCCGTTGGCACTGTTCAGGCTGTTGCCAGCACCTCCACCGCCAGCAACGCTGCTACTGGAAGACGTCACCTCAACCCAAACTGATGCCGTTCCACCACTGCTGCTGGCATCGACCAGTGACAACATGTCCTTGTTCGCTAGGCATTCTAACGATAAATTAACCAGCTGTTGCAGTTTAGTCTGGACAACAATGGGGTCATCTCGGTAGCAGGCGATTGAATGACCAGTCAACTTGTTGCTAAGCAACTGTTGCAAGCTTCCAGCCTGACTGCAGCACGAATACAATGCCGATCCATCCATCTGATTCAATGCAAAAGGGTATAAATAAAGATAAGCAGAAAAAATCGCTGATATAATATAATGCAACATCTATCAATAGATGCAATTGACATAACATTAGATAGACATAATTATCGTTTATTAAAGTTTATAAAATGTTGTGACGAATCAAGCCTGCCCTCATGGACATTCCAGACAAATTTCGTTGTCCGTCAGACATGTGCCCACCCATATAGGTTCTAGGACTTAGAACGAATGTTGGATTTTTTTTTATAAAATTTACGATCATCTACCGTTCGATCATGTTACAAACTGATAAAAGCGCACTTATTTACTTACTAGATCCACTCCTGGACCAGCGAGAATATCATTAAGTCGTACTTTAAAGAATGGTGGTGCAGATGTGACAATGGCCTAGCAAGCACTGCATTTTAGCTCCAAATTTCAAAATGTCCTTGCTCGGGCTTCAGGCACAGACATTTTTTTTCCATTTATTCACAAAAAATAAAGTGAAAGAGTCAGCCTAGCAATAAATGCTTATCTAGGGTTGACTCCCATAAAACAAGAAATAACATAGTAAATAACCCAAAAAATAAAACATTTGTTTTAATTTGCCAACGAATCTTCTAATATTCTTATGCACACCAAACAGGAAACTTCGTCCATTAATAACTGCAAACATGTTTTAGGTGAAGAAATGTGTATGTGCCCACCATTTGAACATCATATTACCATTTGCACCTCAAATGTCAGGCTGTAAAACAACATCTGCATTGTTTTGGTTTGGAAAGACTAAAATTTTGAAACAACTCATGCAATCCCAACATCTAATAGAGGAAGGTCTAGTACTTGGAAACTCTAATTCCACAAAAGAAGCTATTGCTAACGTCTGGGAGAAGTTCATTATTTTTCTTTACTCAGGTTAAACAAATAAATTGAGTTTTATTTTTAATGTATGAAGTAACTTTCTATTTTTTTCAATTGGCACGAACGTATGTAATTTAGACAAGCTAACATATCATTATATCTACACGCGCTCTTAAAAAGTTACATTTTCAGTTATAAATGGTGCCATGCTGTTCCAGTTGTTCTCCATCTAGGCTTTTAAGAAAGAGAGACAAAGAGAGAGAGAGAGAGAGAGAGAGAGAGAGAGAGAGAGAGAGAGAGAGAGAGAGAAGGAAAGACAATATGATTGATAACAATACAGGTATGCCATTTTCCCTTCTCAAGCATTTTCAAAGTTTAAAATTGCTTATGTGACTCCATAAGAATGAGATGATAAGACTGTAAACCTGGTCACTCAGCCACCGCTTTTTGGAGTGATAACATTTTCAAACTTAAACTGTCCCAAAAAGCCGAAAATTTTAATTCTGGAACTAATATTAATGTGAATGCATTATAGCAGTTTCATGGCAACAAATAATGAAAAGAAAAAGAACTAACAACTGAGGTGTTCTTGATAAGGAACCAGCATATTTGTGATGTGTGAGGAGGACCTGCTTGAGGTGAACATACATTCATTACTTGTTTAAAAAATCAGACCAAGAAAAATATTGAATGAATGATTTTTTAAACTAAACAAAAAATTGATATACCTGTTTTAATTTTCTCTCCAGGAGCCCATGATGTGCTTCGACTAAATGGTCCTGGTTGACCGACATAACCGCCACCCATCTTGTCTGAACTGTTGAGACCAGGTGGAGGAGGTGGATACATTCCTCCAAACGATGTAGAGGATTTTCCATGGTGGAGCATATTCCATCCATCTTTCGACTGCCCATGTCCAAAGTTATCAGCACCGGAACACATGTTAGGTAGCCAGCTGTTGATGCTATGAGTGACACCTGCCGTGTTTTGAAGCAAGGAAACCAGGTCAGCTGTGACACTGCTGTTGCTAAGCAAGGAAGAAGTACACGAAGTTGGAGATATCTGATCAAGTTTCAACTGGCCGAGTGCCTGCAGAAGACGTGCTTCCTCTACACCAGTTGGATCAGATTGATTGTAGAGTGCTGACGATGAAAGGGATGATGTGGGCGCACCTGTATGTCCATACAGTTGCAGCTGATCAATCAGGGCCTTCACCTTGAAGATATCCATATTCAAAACTTCTAATCTGTTTAACAATAACGAAAATTATGACATTTACAAAATAACCCCAAACAACCAATATCATTAATCAATATATTAAGGGATTGATGTAGTTCCATGTAGTTTCAATTTAACTCTGTCCATACAATAACTATATATTTGACGACACACTCCAATATGCAAAAAAATATTAAAAACCAGTGTTTGATAAAAGTCAGAAAAAAGTTTGTTCAACTGATTATGTAAAAAAATTTGACACGGATATACCGATGCATCGGTAAATACAGATTTATCGGTGTTTTATCAATAATGATTTTATTGTGTTCATTACCAATATCAATGCCTCTGTACTGAACTTTCAATTTAACGATACTGAACGGCATCTGTATCACACATGCCTAACTCTAACAAACATTTCACCTATTTTTCTTTTGAGGAGCAGGTATAACTGTGTTTTGTTGCAATTGTGCTCTCTCAACAAGCAACGGCTGCAAGACAGACTGCAACTGCAACAACGTCTGAAGTTGTTGAATCTGTTGATTCTTATTGTTACTCCCACTGTTGAACAAGGATGAATCTAACTTTGGAACCTTGGAAAAGAAACAGCATCAGGTACAACTAAATTTGTAATTTGTATGAAAGGGAAAATAAAATACTGATAAAAAATGATTTAATTTGTTGAAAATTTTTGGAATGTGTAGAAGGAAATTAACAAAAATAGTTTTTGTTCATAACTCTTTTTTGATAAGGTGAGGCAGAGTAGATTAAATGTATAAAACTTCAATCAACTTGTTCAGAAATTTAAAGTTATGAAAATCACGAGAAGTCAGTAGTGGATTATTATGAGAAATGTGTACTGACAACCTGCTACAGAATAGAGAGGGCAAGCAGGAGAGGGCGTGCGTATGAGTTAAAAAAATGTTCATGGGTATATGGTCCACAATAAAAATTAAGATAATTATAAATGGAGTTATTATCATTATTTAAATTAATGACAGCCCTAAAAAATGATGCAACTGACCATGGAGGATGATCTGGCATGTTGCATTCCGGCAGGTGCGTTGCCAGCACCTAATAATCCAACCTTTTGCAACAACATTTGTTGCTGCAACTGCTGAGACACAAGATTTTGGTTGTTGAAAAATGGTTGTTGAGGGGGTTGAAATGCTGAAGCTCCTCTTACAGCAAAAGTTTGGTTGTAGTCAGTTGCTGTTTCAATGACACTTTTTCCTCTGAGCATACGCCCCCGTTGTGGCTCTATGCCAGGCATTGTCGATCGGTGGGATGAATTGATTAGTTCTGCAACACATATGATCATTTTGCAATGAAAATAATATAATAATATAAACATATCATGTATGTCACTCAACACTAGCCATTTGATTTTTGAAAAACGTAAAAAAAGATTTTAACAAAAAGCATCAGGATTATATTATAAATCAATTGGATTATAAAATGAACTGAGGTCTACCAAATTTTCCATTAACTCAATTTGTTTACTTCATAAATGCAATCAAAACAATTATCATTCATATAGTAATTATGAATTCAAAAACTGCAAGCTACATGAAGGTTCAAAAAATTATGATAAAAATAATTAACTGGCACAAATCTGTTATGATCTATATAATAACAGCTATCTTGTTTAAATTGTTCTAGTGTATCTATCTAATTATGTTTCTCAGAATATTTATTTAATTGTAAACACAATTAGTCACTCACAATGCTGTTAAAATGAAACAAATATTGTATTGCAAAAGTTGGCCCAGCAGAACAATGGAAGCATAAAAAAAAACAATCCAATTTAAGTCATATGTGTAAAAACTTAAATTCACTATAAATAAAATACCGATCTGCATCAATGTGGTTTAAGTAAGAAAAACTTTAAATATAAAAAAATTTGATAAAGTAAAGAACTAATAACGTATAAATAGTTACATTTTTAGCACTTTGTTTAATAAACTGACCTAAAAATTTCTCTAAGTTGAAGTTACTGCCCAACAACAATTGCATCGCATCTTCTTTCTGAATGTTAATATAATACTCCAATTTAAATAAATGTGAAACTATTAGTTAAATAGAATAAATAAACAAAGATGAAGATAACTTAAGCACATCAACATACAAACACACCTATTCATAATTTGTTGAATCACTCGCGTATGAATAAATTAATTATATATTTAAATAAAGTAACATTTGACATCAGAGCAGTTAATATTACAGCCTAGGTTCCAAGTTCAATTTATTTTCAAATCGATTATACACCTCACCATTTTTTTCGATAAAAACATGCAGCCCTACACACACACAATCGTTAAAACTCAAAGTTTTTGGGACAAAAGTTTCATGTGTATTAGTGGACTCTAAAGCATACTGGGCTTGTGCTTGTTGATAACTTGATGCCATTTTGTGAAACATACAAATAAGTAGACAACTAGCTTTTAGAATCTGGTACATAAATGCTCGAATACTAATAACAATAATACTTTTATTTATATTGTTATAACTGGCCGGTCGATGACGAGTTCGCTTTATCCCCAATGGAAACAGTGATAACTTTTAAACTATCATTTTATTTACAAATTAATAATCAATGTTAATCAATTAACCAATAATCAACGTTAATTAATATACAAAATCACAGGTTAAATCAAAACACGTACCTTTAATCCAATATCCAACAAAATCTGCAGTGCATTTTGTGATTGAGGAATCTAGAGTTATTATATAAAGTAATTTAGAATATTTACAAAATATATGTTTTATGATGTAATGAGGTTTGTTGCTGGGTTTGGAAGAAGTGTAAATGGGAGAAATAAAGATTAATTAAGTAGAAAAGAAAGTACCAATTGATCTCTGGGTTGATTCCACACTCCAAAGTCCATCTGTCTGTTGTTGCTGCTGCTTTCATTCCACATCCCAACAGATTTTAACGGCTGGTTGACATTGCCACCACCAATGGACAAGCCCTTCTGCATTTTTTTTAATTACCACAAGCTTTTTTTTAAAATAAATTAACTTACTCCAATGGAAACTAAGAAAAGTAAAAACAAACAATAAAAAAACTAACATCTGCAGTCAATTTAGATGTTCCTTGCCACGGTCCTGCCAGACCAACATCGCCAGGATTTACAGAGGAACCACTTCCCCAGAAATTCTTATCTCCATCTGGCTGCCACAAGGAAGAATTATTGTTGTTCAGAGGGTTGAGCATGTTATTGTTCGTCCACATAGGTCCCCCATCTTTTGATGAACCAGCCCACATATTAGGATTAGTCAAGTCACAACCCGATTGAGAAGTTCCATTCCAATGACTAGCATCATCAGAAGTCCATTCATTGTTTACAGCAAAGAATGCAGGATTAGAAGATTGGTTTACAAATGGGGAGGACACTGTACTGCCCCAATTATTACTGCCTGTATTGTTTGCAGCTAAAAAGTTGTGATCTGGCAAGGAGGCTGTGCTCCAGGGATTAGATATCAGATTTGACATCTCAAATTTTTGAGCGTCTGATCCTGCGAAGCATTATGTTGTAAATGCAAATGTTAACTTGAGTGAATTTGTGATGAGTTCAAAATTACTAAAATATTTTTTTATAGTTATAAGATTATTCTTAACAACAGTGCCTTCAAAAGCAGATGCAAACTTTCAATTATGCGCTTACATACCTGATGTCGACCACTTTGCTTTGCTATGCAAAGCAATTTGAAAACTAATAAATTTTTATAAACCTATAACACTGCCAGGTGGCATGAGGAGATTAGCATCAGGTAACGAATTGTGTGTCTGACCAATGATGTGTGTCTCCATCTGCCATGGTGTTTCTTGATTTATTTTTATTTTTCCCCAACAATCAGTAGTGTTGACCATTCTTGCAATTAATTCCTCTTTGTTTCCTTCAGCTCCATCAGGCTGACTACGCTCCACATCCTCATTTGGAAGATTATCAGAAGATAATATTGCTGATGATGATTTGGTAATTCCATGATTGGAAGTAGATGTAGCTACCGATGATGATTCAACTTTGCAAGTGGAATCATTTTTAACACCTTCTTCACTCTCAGAATTACCACCTGATAACTGTTGTTGAGAACTTAATGAAGCAACAGCATCAGTACTTTTATGCAATTGGTTATCCCAAACTTTTTTAATATCAAGAGAGCTAGATGAAGTTACAGAGGCATAATCAACTTCGCCCCAATTTTTTTTGAAAGGATCATATGTTGAATACCACAAATCTGAAGATGTGCTTGAGAGACCAAATGAACTAGTGTTATTCAATTTATCTCCTTCACCTTTGTTACCCCAATTTTGAAAACTTTCAGATTTAGATGCCCCATTACTTGCCACACCCTGGAACAAGGCAGCATATTCATCATTATTTTTACTATTCCAAGCAGCTCCTGTGGTTGGTAGAGAAGCTCCCCAGACATTTGACACCTCAGGTTTCTGCTTCCATATACTATCCTCCTTGTCCTGTGAACTCATACCTAAATATTGTTAGTTATGTTAGTGATGGAGAAAGAAATTTAAAAATTAAATTTTAAGATAAGCCATAAGTAAGAGCATGCATGATTCTGCACCAAGCAAAACTGTTCAAATAGAATGAGACATAATGCTTTAAGACAGAGATGCAAGACACATAGATACATAACACATATAGACACACACACAATGCAGGCATATGAAAACAGACTCATTCTCACAAAGGAGGGAGGAGAGACACATCACGCAACGTCAAATCTAACATTAATTTTTTATTTGTTTGTTTGAAATTTATTTATTTGAATAATAATTGTTGGTTAATAAAAAGGTATAGAAAGAATTTAGCCTTTTTTATTTAACATCAGTTATAACTAAATTTTATAATTCAACGAACGAGTCGCCAATATAAAATATTTTAATGCAATCAACCAACACTCATTTGCATCATCTATATAATAATTATGGAAGATTAGAAGCAATAGTAATAAGCAAAGTGAGTAAAATTAATTTCCAACCAAATAAACAAATTGAGAAACATTATAACAATTCGAACAACGTAACACAGCGGAAAACGTAATGTTATAACAACATAACGTTATAATAATGGTGGAGAAAACAGAGCATAATATGGTGAAGAATTGTGAACACCATAACATGAACACCATTATAATATGTTCCATCAAAACATTCAAAAGGAATACAACCTAAAAATTTAATACAAATTTCAGTTAGCTAAAACAAACCTAATGAGGAATTCCACAAGCTAATCGGTTTACCTTGAAAACAAAATTTTAAGAGTAAGTTATAAAACAGTAAATAAGTGTGGTGCGCATTGCACATTCAAATATAACATTACAGTGGCTACATGCTAGGCACACAATTTTAAGTTTTCAATTAGTTAACCTGTCAATTCACATCCAATTCTTACAATTATTTTTGGGTTCACTACACAATCTTCATTTGACGTATTTTGCTCATCATTTGATATATATAATAAGAGCACTACTTGTTTATAAATTATTGGGTTGGCACAAAAGTTTTGCATCTTTTGATAAGTTCACTTTTTATAGCATTTTCATTATAAAATATTCTCTTCTTTCTCGTGCCTTATCCTTTCAGGACATTGGCCATCGACCTCCACAAAACTTGATCTTTAACACTTTGTAGCCCTTGGAATGTGGTGATATTCAACAAGTGACACAAGGACTTCACAAAAGTAATAAGCTGTTGATCACGATCTTTTCTCCCTGCAATTTTTCCAGTGGTTTCCATTCCTGCCTTCCACGTGAAGTGACCCCTAAACTTTAATTGCCCCAGTTGGATTATTTGTAGTAATTTCCTCTTTTCATAATTGGACTGTTTAAATACATCCTCATTGGAAGTACAAAAAGTCCAACTAATTTTCATGTTTCTTCTCAGAAACATAAACCCTCTTTTCTATTTCTTTAGAAATTGTCTAGGACTCAGAGCCGTAAGTGAGCATAGGAACTAACAGTTTTACTTTCGTTGATAATCTGATTTTACTGTTGGTGAAGATATTTTTCAACTGTCCTGGTTATGACATTAAACTGACCTTCACTGCCTTGTGAGTGATGTTGGATTATCAAAGGCTAGGCCCACCACTTATAACTGTGGTTGCGTAAGGAAGGGCGTCCTGTGTAAAAATTAGCCAAATAAATTACTTATGATGACAGAAGTGACAATGGCCCTCAGTATTTGGCAGAATGGCGTCGAAGGGTATTTTGGTTTCATCATAGGTAGCCCCCGATCTCGGGGAAAATGTCGTCCAAACGTGTGTTGTTGTTTGGTTGTTGTGAAGATATTTTTCAATTTAGAATATGCATCTTTTGCCATAGCTATCTTTCATTTGATATTCATATCACATTTACAACCTGAGTTAATCAGACTTCTGAGATAATTGAAGCTGTTGACTTGTTTCACCTGTTTATCACTAATGATTATGGAGCAAATCAGGGTGGTTTTGCTTTTACTGATAGCTCTTTGGTCCCAGTAGAGGTTTTTGATAACTCTCGTGTCTTTTCTATCAGTGCCCAAATTTTCCAATACTTCCATAAGCTCCCTGTGTTTCACACTATCTAAAGCTTTGGACTTTGCACTATCTGTACTGGTTATGACTGTCCTGGTTATGACATTAAACTGACCCTCACTGCCTTGTGAGTGATGTTGGATCATCAAAGGCTAGGCCCACTGCTTATAACTGTGGTTGCGTAAGGAAGGGCGTCCTGCGTAAAAATTAGCCAAATAAATTACTTATGATGACAGTATTGACAATGGCCCTCAGTATCCGGCAGAATGGCGTCGAGGGGTATTTCGGTTTCATCATAGGTAGCCAAACGGCAACCCCCGATCTCGGGGAAAATGTCGTCTAAATGTGTGTTGCTGTTGTTGTAAAGCTTTGGAGTAATAAACAAGTCTTTCTTTATATCAATCGCTTGTTCACTGATCATTCGTAGCATAGCATAAAGATTTGTATGACATTTGAAATTTCAGATCTGATTTTGGTTCATGCTCTCACCATTAGAATTTTCAAGATATGTTTTGTAAGATAACTCATCAAGTTGATTGTTCAATGTAGTTCACATTCGGTTGCATAAGGTTTTTAGGCAATGCAATAAATATCGACTTGGATGAAATCTTCAGGAATTTTGTCGCTGTTATATATTTCATTCAAAATTTCTGTCACTTTTTCAAAGCCAAATTCATCAAGGCATTTAATTTCTTCTACAGCTATTTCATCTGTGCATGGCACTTTATTGGATTTCATTTTGGTAAAAGCAGCACAAACTTCAGATCTAAGTATCTTTGGTCCTTCTATAATGTACCAATTCCAATAATGAGCTTATTTCCATGAAGTATTATAGATAATATAATTATAAAAGATAAGTTTTGAAATTGACAGCTTAGAATATCTTCTTCTAAAAGCAAAAGATGCAAAACATTTGTATCAACCTAATATATAACATTAGATAACATGAAATTTAAGTGTACCAAACATGTCATGCACCAAAAAATATATAGACAGTAGAGCTCTGTGCAGATAACTGTTTTAATTCTGAGGGTTGCAGTTTGTACTCTGGCAATTTTATAGATTCAAACCACATTAAAACCGTGGTTGTTTGAAAAGGTTTTTAACTTTAGTTAGCGAACAAGTTTGAAACAAGATAAAATAAAACAAATGTTGTTCATGAGAAGTAATGACCTAAACACTTTATTTCTCATATATGAATACACTTTAAATTTAAATTTATATATTTATTACATTATTTAAAAAATTCTTTCTTGAAAGTCCGAAAATCCTGAATTTTATACAATATACATTTATATAAATATTTATAAAATTTAATTGGTTTAGCATAGGTACACAGACACGTGGTGTAATTATAGATTTAATTTTTTACGGTTGCAGGAAGTCGCTGATTTTTTGTAGTTGCAGTTTAAAAAATTTCAACTGCCCAAGGCTTCAATAGATAGCTAGCTAATGATAAATCTATGTAGTCAATACAAAATAAAAAAGAACATGTTCATTAAAAATTACATTGATAAAAAACAATTAATAAGTAAAAGTAAAGCATAGTATACTACCAATCGTGTTTTCTTGATCCTGAAAGTCTTGAGTATCAGATGACATCATCATCATGTCAACAAAATGGGATAAAAAGAAAATCTTAATTAATTAACTGCTGCTTGTTAACTTTCAACTTTTTGTATTTTTCAACCTAAATTTAAAAATTTTTAATTTCAGAAAAAGAAAATTTTACTGTAAAAAATAATTTTTTTTATTTTTAGATTTTTTTAAGCATGATTTTTCACTTTAAAATTTTAAAATAAAAAAAAATGTCAAACAGAAGAATCTTAATTCCTAAGTTAAAATTGATCAGAACTTTCAGAAATTTGAAAAACAAATCGCAAAAAAAAACAGAAATACAGTTAAGTAAATATTGGGCAAACGAAGCCTAAGTAAGATTGTAAGTAAGCAAAGCCAAAATGTAAAATAAAACTAAATTACTAAAAGGTCAACAAAACAAAAGCATTACCTTTGATATTACAGATGTTTATAGCGCTTAAAAAGTGGAAAAAAGATGAAAACTTGAACAAAATACAAAATAATTAATTGAAATTGTAATATTATGCAAAAATTAATAAAATTGATTTTAAAAATGATCAATGTGACGCAAAAAACAAGGCTTCACGATGAAACGAGCCTAAAATGTTGAAAATACATCTTTTGGAGGTGGACGATGCAATGTGATAAATTTTGAGGCGCTTTCTTCAATGTCGTTGATATATTTTAAAATAATAAAAATAAACATAATATCTTAAAAATAAGCAAGATGCAATATTTCTTGAAACATGCATTCTTAGCAAATTTTATAAATTAATGTTAAAATAAAAAACTGTAACATAATAAACAAAACAATACAAAAACCTCAAGAAATTTTAGTTTAAAATCAGAGAAAAAGGGAAGAAAATTTCAGTTTTCTTGAAAGAAAAAACATACTTGGTAAAATTATGAGCCTGATGAAGATAAGATATTTTGTGAAATATGTCAACAATGTGATGACCTTAATAATTTAATTTAATTTAATTTAATTTAATTTAATCTCTTTCGCTTTTCAAGTAAACAGGATTATGCATTTACCAGAAAAAGATTCAACAAATGGAAACAAATATAAAGTTCACGAAAAATCACTCAGCTATCAGGAGGCAGTTTTGAAAATAAATAATGTAAATCTAGGCATAAATGTTCTAAGTCAGCAGAACTCTTTTATACAGAAAGATGATAGCACCTAGAAATGTTTTTTTCAAAATTGTTACATCTCTGCCGTACTTATGCAAACAGGCTTGCAATAAAGGGTAAGTGGGACAATACTGGAAGTTATTTCACATCGTAATCGGCGAAATAGCAGCCCACTTTGACTCACATCAACAATTATTCATTATTTTTTGAGAATTTTAAAATGTTAAAAAAACAAAATTGAAAA